AGGTATCATCTGCTGGACTCCTGCGGCAGTCGGATGTCAGTTCCTGTGCATGACAACAACGTCAGTTGGACCAACAACATGCCCCGTCACGTTGCATCCGCGTGCGGATTTTCTCCGTAGTCAAGTAACAAATAACGTGAACACAATCTGAAGCGATTTCTGCGCCTCGATACAATCGGTTTGACTCCCGCAATCCTACACATGCCTGTATCCAAGACCTGATATCTCAGTTTCGGAGAACGCCACCAACATGTGCATGGGTTGATGGCAGGCACGCGGTTAGTGATGATGCATCAAAGTGCCGTGAGCCAACTTATTGCATCGATGCCGTGTTTAGGGCCAACAGCGTCCGATGGCCAAGATGGACGTGTTGGCACTAAACGGATGTTGTGAACAATGAACAATCCATATAGACAACGTAAGGTCAGGACTTGTATTCTATTGTTAACCTATCGTCCCAATCTGGGCCCCAGCAAACATCGCATCATACCGCATCATCGACATGCAAACATAGACACGGCCACTCAAAGACAGTCAGACCACACTTTTACAGCCTCGGCCTTCTACTTCTTCATCACCATCAGGTCAAGCTGAGCTCTCGAGGTTGAGTGTGTCGCTTAGAAAATGCCTTGCCAGACGATAAACATTGTAAAATTGGTCACCGTAAATGGTTTGTTTCAACCGGCCGCATCAGCCGCGACCAAGTAGTAGAAATACTACAGGCGATTTATTTGGGTAGCGTGCAACCTATGCCACATCCATGTCGGGCCGCTCATGAGGTCGCGCGAGATCAGCCGTGGTGATCTGTGAGTGGCTCTATAGCCGCTAGAAGGTGGGCTTGTGGCTGTGTGAATAGTAGGCTTTGAATTAAATAAAGTGAACCAACATAGATATTTCAGTCAAACAATTATTTAGCCTGATTTTGCTGGGACAGGAGAATTTGTCAGTCGTTGAAGTAATACGTCGAAATTGAAGTAGATAGGTAAGTAATATCATCACTTCTAGTGTCTATGTGGATATCTTGGACGGGAGAATCATTGTGATCATCGTTGATTAAAATACCCGAAAAGCACTAATAAATGTAGTTTCATTCATATAATAAATGTTTGCTTGCTCGACCCCGTATTCTACTTAGTATAGTGGGTATTAATGTCATGATATGCACCATACATACCACATTGAATCTCACAGCCACAGCTGGGGGCAACCCATCACCCTAGCCAGAATATCTACGATTATGTTATGTTCTTCAGAAACATTCTTGTACCTGCTTGCATCTTATCCATGATGCCTTGGGCCCCTCCTATATTCCTCGTCCCGGCCGTGAGGCTCATCGCCGACCATGTGAGGCCGCAGCCAGGGTCTATCTCTCTCTTTGGATGTCCCAGTTCAGGGCCCAAGTTAGTTGCGAGGCTCCAGCCGTGTTCTATGATATAAAACGATATAAAGACCTCTCCTGATATTCTAGAAATGATCATCACAATACCGAAGCTTCTTTTCAAGCCAATGACTCCTCCTTCATCTCGCTTCAGCAGACTATCTCTACAGAGTATGTCTTCAGATACCTATTCTCGCGCAAGGCGCGAGCACTTCGCCCAGGACTTAGAACAGTCTCACTATGATGAATCATCATCGTCATCAGAATCGGAAACAGACTCGAATAGTTCCGAGTTTGAAGATGACAGTTCCGACAGCGACGAGAATGAAACTTCCACCATTCGATCGCCTACCAAGCTAACATATCTTGTCGATCACCTTCCCGAAACTACCCAGTCTACCATCCGCGAAACCTTCAGAGAACCTCCAAGGATTGTGCTGGAAAAGTGTTGTCGTATCGATGATACTTATGCGTTCCAAATGACAGAGCTTGTTACACGTTCTATCCGAATCCGCGCACCAGAAGATGGAACTTCCAATATGAGCTGCTCGTGCCCGGATATTGAACAGCCCTGCAGGCATATCTTGTGGCTTCTGGACCAAATCGTTAAACAGACCCTGTATGACGAAGACATTAGCAAAGCTCTCAGAATGAACTCGGCAGGATATGCGGAGGCGATTGGAGACCCTTTCCAGAACATCTCCAAGTATCATCTCGACGTGCTTGCGGAAGGGCTTCACTCTCACCTTGTCACCCCAGACTCGGAATACGACAACGAACCAGATACTTTCCGAGCCCAAGAAGCTCGGGAAATACTGTCCTCGGTCTATGATATGGACCCAAAACAGTTCCGCCCCGACATCTTCGACCGGGTGTCTCTGGGAAAGAATATTATCAAGCGTCATGACCTCGAGCAAACCATCTTTCGCATGCTTCTGGACAATCACCATTTCTTTCATTATTTCCGCTCCGTCTCACGCTCCAAAGACTTAATCAAAGATCCATTCCATAAACTCACCCAGCGAATTGACTGTGTACTGCGAGATCTCGACGCCAAAATTCCTTCATCAGACGTTGAATCTCCTCACGATGTACCTTGGGCAGCTTCCCATATCCTCGGCTGCGTTCGTCGCATGCGTCATGAGATATACACAAGGGAAAAGCCCCTTTCTTCAAGCGAGGCGTTATCTGCAGCTCGCAGTCTCGTGCATATCTTGGGCTCGGTGGTATCTCACAACAAAGATGAAGGTCCTGGAAATGTGGCCCGCATCGATCGCAACCTTTACCTACGTCTCATTGGCGACCGCGACCAAGACTTCATCCTCAACGTACTGAATCTAATCCCGGAGGCTGCAAGTCAGTTTTTACACAATCTTGAAGAAATTCTTGACAAGATTGAGATATATGGTGCACCTACAGGCTATGTACAGCGGTTCAGGGCAATGCTAAGGAGGCTGAGAACATCGAGTACAGGTTCTGGGTTGAAGCGATCTGTTCAGGTGCAAATGGGTGGCAGGAAGACGAGGAGGACTAGATGAGGATAGTAGAATGACTGGATATTAATGTAGGTACTAAATGATACTCTTGGGCCAGGAATAACACTATGCTGCTGCCCGTTTGTTGCTACGAAAACTGTTTTGAACCGAACAATCCCAAGTGACAACTTGGCTAAACCATATTTGTAGACCGCATAAGTATTGGTAAAAGCCTCTTTCAATCAATCTTGTGGCCTACGTAAACTCTTCGGCCGGCTTTCAGTGAAATGAGAGTCCTTAGTTGCAGCTAAACCTCGTCAAAACTTGAATCCGGCCTCGTCACGAAAAGCCTCGAGTTCCGCAAGAACTTCCTTCAGACTCGGTCGATCGTAGAAATTCTCTTTCCAGTCACCCTTCTTCATGCCTTCGATTCTCTGTCTCAGCCACTCCTCCGATGCATCAATCTCTGCCGACCACCAAGTCTTCGCAGTCTGTTGTACATCTTCAGGGGTAGAGAGCCCCATTTTCTCAAGTTCGCGGAGCACGAGTTGGTTCCTTTCCCTGACGATCCACCTACTAAGACCAGACCGCCTTCCACGCGTGCACCGATTGATCAGCCGCTGCATGGCTCCAGGAGTTTTTGTGTATCCTGGGAACTCAACCAGCGGCTCCCATCTGTATGAAAGCCAGACCGCGGCTCTTTGGGGAGCGCTATTCCCTTCAAAGATGCACCACAATACTCGACCAAGCATATACACCTCGCATGCCTCCTGTTCTTTTGGAGTGAGGCAAGCCCATGGAACGTTGTAGCCTTGAGAAGGCCATTTGTACTCCTCTCTATCGCCCATCGCCACCCAATCTGGAAGCATTTCAGACAAGAGGTTTGAGTATTTTTCACTGACTTCTGTTGGAATCTCTTCATCGATCGCAAGAAGTCTCACATATTCAAGTGCGTTGACCTCTGGGGCGGCAAACTCACACCAGACACCACGCTGCTCAAAGTCAACCATTACGGCATCACGAGAAGCTGAAAGTACGATGTTGTCTAGTCTGAGATCGGGGTAGAACATATCAGTAGTCGCACGAAGGTGCACCAGCGCCGACGCAAGTTGAATGGCCCACTTTGTCTCATCGGCCAACGATACCATGTTGTGAAGCTTGAGAAACGGGATCAGATCGCGCAGACTGCCATGGATATGGTATTCCAGCGTGAATCCGATGACGGCCACTTTCCCACCAAAGCCGCATTGCTTTGTAACCAGGTGGACTGGCCGAGAAACAATGTTCGGGTGCGATGGAATGGTGAGAAGTTGCCTTAGCTCGTGATACAGGTACTTTGTGTAACTGGTAAGAGCCTTGAAAATCCACGTCTTTCCTTCGATCTCCACGAGGCATACGCTGTCGTGAAGCTGTGAGACGTATACCACATTATCGAGATCGACCGTGGGAGGCAGTTCAACATCACTCCCCCAGGCAGCCTGGAGCGAGGATACAGACCAAAGCTGACGTTCAAGATAATGAGTTGGAGCGATAATGATCTCCGCATCGGCAACATTCTTGGGCATGTTTTTGAGCACAATCCTGGAGCCATAAGGAATCTTCTTGAAGATCCCAATAGGATCCTCCTGGCACGATGTCCAATGTTGTAAGATACGGAGTACATGCTGAGTGATGCCAAGATGCGCAATACGCCTCGCACTCGTGGTATGAAATGCCACATCGACGTCAAGAGCTTGTCGAAGTTCAGACGAAAGCTTTGATGGCTCGGGGATAAAAACATCTACCCGCATCGGCGGCATGGAATCGATAAATAAAGGCACAGCGTAGAACTGGCTCCCGAAACCAGTGCAGCCATCGATTCTCCAGAGAGGCCGCTTCAACGGGCTGAGGCTGTCGATACGATTCTTGGGATTCAGGACCGAGTCTTTCCAGTCAACAGGCTGGTCGTCCCGTGCCACTGATTCCACATCAAGGTTGGATGGCAGATTCGAGAAAGCTGCAGTAGGGTGGATAACATCATGAATTGATCCCTGGCTCAACTCCATGATATGGGCTGATGTAGTGCTTAACGTAGAAAACCGGTAGGATACAGCTCGAAATCAACGGAGCGCAGTGTTGTACGCCAAAGAGGTAGTAAGCAGTGCACAATGTCTTGGATGTTGCCCGACACGAACAGTCGATTGCAGATGAGGGGTTTCAGTTTCGGATGCAAGGGAAATGACCAAACAGTTGTTGGCAACGGTTCGTTGAGCTACAAGCAGAGCCGCCGAGACCGATTTAAAACAAGGCGGGAATTGACTCGCAATAAAATTCTACTGAGCGAAGATGTGAGCGTGTCAACAATGATGCTGAGAGAGGATGATCGTTGTTGTGTGACAATATCAGACCGACATGGATGGCACCGCCAGATTGGCGATTTAGGTGCTGGCTTTGACACAATAGCCGTGCTTCTGGGTCTTTTGATCACATGATCGAAGGATTGGGAGCTTGCCTGTTGGCTGCTCTTGTGAAACTGAGGGTGACAGGAACGGTGACGGCGGCGGTGACGGATCACAAACTCGTTCCTGTCTGGTGAAGAAGAGCAAGCAACACCGAAAGCTCGTTCGCGATGGCAATTGCCTACTGCTTTGAAACTTCAATGGCAAGATCCATTTTTCCTAACTTAGTTTCGCGCTTGACGTATGTTTCCTAAGGCTCCACCTTCCTGAGGTAGGCTACCTGAAAATCAAGCACCCGTCCGCCTCGAGATATCAAAAAAGCATCCATGTTAGTAGGTACTCTAGTCTGATAGAGAGCCAGCCCAAGCAGGTATCCGTAATCACCTGAAGCGTTGGACGGTACAATCAGCCTGCCGTTCCGCAGATTGACTGTCCTGTCCCCATCCGACCAAAATTATCATCGCCAATGCCAATACTTCAATTCTCGTTATAGATTTTCCGCCAGTGCTTGCTACTGTGTGCTTTCGGGAGCGAGGCTGTAGAATTTTATATCGCAAAGGCTGGGCGCGGTAAATGGGCTTGGCGGATTGTATTGTTTCAATCGTATCCAAGTAGTATATGATCTGTCGCGACTGTCGATGCCAGGCCAGTGTGGACCGTTGAAATATCATCGATGCATTCTGAAATGAACTATTCAGAAGATAAATGATCGTAACCTAAATAGAAAACAATTCAAGATATAGGACGGGGAACGGTGCACAATAAGGATTTTATTGCAGGTTGACGACTTGGTCAAGTTGTGCAGGATCCACAAGGAACGCAAGCTGGGGATTGCAAAGTCATGAAGCGGGGAGAAGCGGTTTTGCAATAAGCTCTCAAAGGAAGCTGGAGTCCAGTGGCATTGATGAAACGAGCCCATTGTGACGTTGACTTCAACAACTGTGCCTGCATGCCTGCCTTTGGGCCAAGGAGCTGGTACATCTCGGAGCTGGTCACGGAAGCCCTCGACTGGTTGAAAAACCTTGGGCTCCAAGCGGACAGGTCTGCTTCGGGTACATCACTCAGAAGATCTGGAAGCTCAGAGATAACCAGGGTTCAGATGAGACATAGTGCTCTGATAGCCCAGCCAAGGCTCGTACTGGGCGCCTAGGACGGCCCGAGGGCCGTGGATTGCCGTCAATATCGTAAGTTCCATAACGAATACCGTTTGCTTCTGCTTCCGCAGACGAATGCCGGCGTTTGGCCCTCAATTGTCAGCGTGGGGGAATACCGAAGTTTTGGTAACAAGGGCTCCTGGCAGACCGGTGAGCAGTCACATTCTCATTCCCGAAATACCGACCATTTGGATCACAAACATTAGAAACGTCATCTGCACTAATAAGCATGGTTTGAAGCAAACCGTGCCCCGATATTTTGATTTCTGACAAAAGGCAGTGCTAACCGACACCGAACCGGGAGAGGCGCATCGGAGAGCGATTGTTGATGCAACATCGAATATTGCCCTGGCCACAAACTGCATATCGTCTGGATCGGCCGAGGAGATTTTCGCAGTACACAAAGCTGACACTTGCATATCCTACGATCGAGCCCGCGGGGCTCCCGGCTGGCCGTACATATTCGTCCTGTTGCTGCTGCGTTGCCATACCATAAGACAGGAATTATAATTGACGCCTAGAGCTATCGGCCGGTGTGGAGCAGGATGTCTTAGACAAGTGGTCGGCAGCCGCTTACATGGCTGAAGAGAAAACGAGGTTGAGTGAAAAACCTGGCTAAACTGCAAGTAAAGCAGACCTCGCATCGTGCAACCCTTTCTTGCCTGGGTACATGGGGAGACGTGCATGCTATATGGTTGGATAAACGTAGAGGTCCAGGAAGAAGCTCCGTTGACATCTATTCGACAGACACCGGTTCGATTTAGGGGCACGGGAAGACCCATCGATGGAGACTAATTAGGCTAGTGGTAGAGAAGGGGTTCCTTCCATGTGGCATCCATGTTTCTTTCTAGATCCGCTAAAGTGAAGGTTTTTGTTCATACTGGCGCTGAAGGTAGTCTAGAGGAGTCGGAGAGGTTGGTTACTGGATCCGATTAAGACTTGAGATCGCTTCGGTCTGCAGTGTAGGGTACTAAGTTTGGATACGAAAGTTGTTTGGCTCTTTCCATCTCGAGTGGAGGCCAAGTCAACAGCCACCTACCTTCCCGCTTCCTTCCGTAGACCGTTGAGGACTTGAACTAACGCAAAGCAAAATTACCACGCATCCGTTGAGGGAAGGCGCAACCGCCACTTGAGTCTAACTTCCAATCACGGGATATCACCATGACACCTCCTGCCATTCTGATGAAAGCCTAGTGATTGTTTCTACAACATGCATCCTTTGCCATCCATCTTCCAGACCGGCGTTACAGGCTGATATCGTCAGGAACGTCCATCTGTGTTCTTTGGAAGCCCTGCACTTCCATGAGAGAAGAGGAAACATTTAACCACAGCCCGGCAAAGAGGGAGATATGCAGATACCGCCACTAATTTCCTCGCATGCATTTTGATGCAAGCAAACCCATCAACCAACTGATTACCTCGACACTCTCATGCAGAACCTTTGACCAGGCCGGTGGCAGGGCAGGGCAGGACAGGGCATCATGCCCACAACTCACATCGTGCCGTTAGTGTGGCTAGCGTGTTCCCAGCTCCAGCGTCTTATACACACCTAGCTCTTTCGTAAGAAACTCGCAACGATAACAACACCCAAACCGACGTCGATCGGTCCGATGTCCAATTCCAATATCAGGCTGTGAACAATGGTGATTTTTCGTCTCACCGGTCGCTGCCCTTGTTTCTTTCTCGTACCAACCAGAACGTTTGCGTGACGATAGCACACAAAAGTCTTATCACATGGTCTAAACCTGACGGCGCCCAAGTCACAGTTCTCGACTCGAGTTATTTGGCCGTGTTATCTGTCATCACTCGTCAGCCTTAGTTCACTTGATAGGTAAAGAACTAGGTGAGGAAAATTGGAACTAAACCCGGAGATTTGTAGGATTACGATGCATTCTTTGCATCTGGGGGCACTAGGTGCTGACAAACAAGGCTAGAGGACTGGTTGTCCATGCCGTCTTCTGAGGTGCCATTGCATTTCTTTATACACTGGGACGCACCTCTCTGCAGTTGTTCTCGCAGAACTCTTGATGCTGGTCTCAGGATGGTAAATGGACGAAACAAATCCTTTCTGCGAACCTGCTTGGCACTTCAGGATAAGTACTTTTGAGAACTTCTGCTAAATTGCGGAGTTGTTGATGTACCTCTTGCCTGGGGTGCAATGCCCAGGCGGGCTGGCGTTGCGAGACCTTGTAGGAGAAAAAGCAATTTGAGGATAGCACATCCAATCCTAGCTGAGCGGTTGTGCAGCCATGACCTACATTGGTCAGCACCATGTCAATCACATGGGCATTCTAATGCACGAATTAATCGTTGTCATGACCAGGCAGGCTCTTTGGCTATGCGTGCCATGGAACAATGGAGCGATCCAAAGATTCGACTGATTAGGCGGATTAAGCCCACAGTCAGACCACCCTTTCTGGATTTCCAGCAAAGCCTTCAACCTGTCGACAATACTTTTGTTTTACTCACGCATATCAGAGCTTTTCGACTATTCTACACCAGATTGGGAACTCCAGGCACACTGAACCGGTAGGGCGGGTAATATCCCAAAAAATCTCTGCCCTCGCGCACTACAATCAGAAGGCCCCTGCTACGCCCATGGTACCCCTCAGACCGGTCAAAAACTGCTCAGCACGAGGCCATGTAGACGCCGTCCTCACCGAGTCCACTTTCCTCTCTCACAGACTCGTTCATCATCGCCATTCCCAGCAGACCGTCGAGCCGTTGCTTGAACCGCTCAACGCCCAGTCACTACAGCCACCACACCGCCAGCCGCAGACTTGCTCAGCCCGCATCCCGCATCGGTCGTCATCCATACGATCGCGGCCACAGGCATATCATTCTGAGTTTGCTCAACGTACCGTTCGGTGCTAGCACCAGCACCACCGGTTGCCAGCTCCACGTTCTGTTACCAGTACTACGACAAACTAATCCGCCTTATTGCTAAAGGAGTGAATTGGGCGGACAAGGCTCCACGTCTTGTTCCAGTGGTATCTACTGTGCTCACATTTGAAGCTTTCCAGTACGGCTGCGAGCAGCACACCAATATCTTCTCGTGGACAAGGAGCCTCAACCATCTGATTGGGCTCATTCAACAGCCCCTACTTATCCTTTCTCAGCCTATCTTCCCCGGATTCTTCGCCTCCTTCATCGCATTATTCCCTTCTCCCGACCGTCTGGGTGCCTTTCTCTCGGTCGTTGTCGTCTGGGCTCCGGTCATCGCTGGCGCTCCACTCGGCGCACTACGGGGGTTTGAACGTCAAGTGCTCCGGTGATGGCTTTCGTGGCACCTTAGCCTACCACCACACTCCCCCCTCTTTCCACCCCGGCGTCGCTCGATTTTGACCACTGTTTTCGAGGTTTAAACCGGGCAAGCTAGTTTCTCCTTTGTCATTGCCTGTATTTCGTCGACTTTGATCCCCGCGTGGTGGTACCTTGACTTTTGTTCTGCTCCTACTACTGCTGCTACTAGGCCGTCTTGTTCCACACCCTGTCCTGTCTCACTGCAGCCATTATGGTAAGAGTTTCTCTCCCCGGTTGGCGGCAAGCTGCATGGAGTTATATCATCGATTCCCCGTCTCATCGGTTTCTTTGGATGGCCCCTGCGGCTGTTGCCAATCACCCCGTTCCCTCTTGTCGCCGCCCCATCGTGGCTCTCGTGCCATGACTCCCGACAAGCATCTTCTCCTTGATCTTGCCCCAGGCCCCTCCTATCGTACCTGAATGTGCGGTGAATTGATTTTTCTATAGAATCCGCATTATTCTTCTAAAACCAAGAGGCCTCTCCTCGAACTAGGGGTTGACGATCCTTCTTCCTCAATATCTTTCACCCCTCCTGTGGATCCTACTTATAATATCTTACCATATGAGATTCACCAA